CACACACACACACACACACACACACACACACACACACACACACACACACACACACACACACACACACACACACACACACGCGAAGAGAACAGCAAGAAACATTTCAAATATCAGTAGCACAGCTAAATATCTACAGCTTCTTCCTCCATCGTCCACAGCAGTGCGCGCATGTCCATGTAGAGGTTTGCTCATAGGACGGGGGGTAAAATCTTCTGAGTGCTGATGATGTCTCCGAGCTTCTGTTTTATTTTCACAAAGAGACGTTTGAACTCTAGGCCGTCACCCTGGAAACACAAGATTAGTTTAGTTCACTTGGTTTTGGACCAAAGGGGAAAAATAAACATCGCCGTCTTTCAGTTCTGGTACATTTTGATTTCAAACTAAAAGATATGAACTAAGAGGTGCGATCATGAGGTCATACGGACTAACATGTGAATCATCGATTGGACAGTTATGGTGACTCATCCTGAATCTTCAAAACAAAGCATTTTATAAAGTACATTTCCATCCTGCTGAGAAAAAGATGATGTCCATTGGCATGTTATCTTTTCTCAATACTGATCCATTTATGAAAATACCTTTTTGTGAAGTTATTTTCACTTGCAGTTTGTCACTTGATTCAGCTTAATTTTAAATATAAATATATTTGTAAGGATTTTTTAAAGGAAAAATGCATATTTATATCAGATTATGAGGTAGTTATAATATACTGGTATATTGCTGCAATGCAGTTGTTTTATTGGTAACATTTCCCAAAAACCCTGCTGCTTTCTCTCACAAAAAGGATTTTATGCATCTTCACCTTTTCCTTTATTATTATTATTTTGTGGTTCAGTAGCACACTTCAGTGTCTCAGTTTGAGTAGTCATCACACTTTTGTCTCAGCTTTAATATAGTAAAATATTGTTTATGTCAGAAAAAACTAGATATATCTTTTTAATCTAAATCTCACCTTAGACAGTCTGAAGTCCAGCAGCACTCTCTGGTTCATCTCTAGCAAGTGGACTTTGAAGATGAGTTTGTTATTGCGTTTGTCCAGTGTGCTCACCGTCACCTAAAAGGCAAAGTGAGGCTCAGTAGACTGTCATGCATTATGGTCTATTGCAGCTGGAAGAGGCTCTGTGTGTGTGTGTGTGTGTGTGTGTGTGTGTGTGTGTGTGTGCTGCAACTGGTAGCCTGGCTGTGTGGTGCAGGTCTCATCTCTCTCTCATAAAGTATTTTTCTTCTGTAATCATGTATACTTGCTGCATCTGTACCTGTTTGGTGCAGGTGAGTTTGAAGCAGAGTGACAGGCCGTCACAGGCGTCTTTCAGGGCAGATAAGGAGACGTCAGCATTCACAGTGGTGAAGAAACGAGTCATCCTCCGCACTAATCTCTGCCACTGCGACTGCACACAGAAGGAAGAAGTTTGCATTAAAGCAGCATTATATTAAACAGAAATGTGATTTGTGTCAAAAAACAGGACCAAAAGAAATCATGGCTGCTCTTCCATGAAACAGATCCTGAGCCTGTGTTTGTGAAAGGTTCCCACACTTTGTGAGATATATCATATATAGAAATTACTATTCAATGTCGCACCGAGTATGCAGATTACCTGACTGGCTCCCGGGGTGCCCAGTAGCTGACTACCTAGCAGCATGTGCTCCGGCTTGGTTGGCTGAGAGAAGCTGACTTGGCCCTCGCTTTGGCCGATGATCAACATGGCTTCCCAGCCACCTGCCGCGAAATCAGGCTGAGAGCTGGAAAACTGCATCCTGTCATCACTGCGGAGGGAGGAAGGTGGTCTTAAGATTACAGGCAGAAAAGCAAATACACATTTGAGTTGACATAAGAAAGACACAACGCTCTGACCTGTTGGTGCGGGATGCGAGTCCCACGTCTGACCGAAGAAGTTTGTTTCGTCCTGAGCCTGGAGGCGGTTGCTTTACACCTGCAGAGATACACAGACAGACATCAGTCCGGTGAACATTACACTTAAATTGATTGTATCATGTTCGATTTTTTTTAAACTTGCCTTGAGTAAACCAGCGGTCTTTCTGTATGTCTGCGATTGAGATGCGTGCATCTGGCCTGGCCAGCAGTAATTTGGACAACAAACCTGAAGAGAGAAATTAAATGTGAATTAAATAAAGCTCAGTTAATATTAAGGGATTTTGTAACCCCAAGACAATATCCGAAATGTAGCATTTAAACTTAATTATTTAGGTATAATTTGGGACTTACTAAGAGGCATTGGTTGTATTTTCTTCCAGGGAGCTAAGTACGTTTTCTTTTCAAGCCAGTCTGAATACTCTTGACAGCTCTCAGTCGGCTGATCCCACGGCAACTCTGAAAAAGAGGCAACACAAAGACAGTGACGAAATGTCTACACACATCTACCGCAGGACAGTTGCATTAGCATCCGTTGTATTTTTACCACAGATGTAGAGCGCTCAGATCACTTATGAAATTATCAACATTGTCAGGTGTACGATTTACATATTCACCTCTAAAAAAAAACCTGAATGTACAATAATTTGGGCTTCAACTTAAGCCCCATTTTTTAGCCTATACTTGTTTTCATTTTGGCAATTTGACACGACTTATAGAACAATGAATTAACTATTTGCAGTTCTCGTTTACAATGTGCAGACAACTACCACTTAATCAATTCAACACTGAAGACAACTTCAAAACGTGAGTATTGTCTGGCAAGTTCTGGATTTATAAAGATCTTCTGTGGAGGTGATAGAACATTTTACATAGTTACAGTGTAAAGTACACACACATACAGTATGTAATACACTGTATAATGCAATGCAATGCAATGCCATGCCCTACACGAGCACACACTACAGCTTTGGAAATGAGTTGAATCAACACCTGTGAAAGTCTCAGCAACAATGTAAAATCACGGCCTTCACAATAAAGAGGCTATTGTGTTATATTGGACGACAGAAGTTGGTACGATCACCCTGTAAACAGGCACTTTGTGAGCGTACCTCCAGCCAGCATGGCAGTGAGGACAATCCCACAAGACCAGATATCTGCAGGCTGAGCTTTGTACTCCGTTTGGCCGAGAAGCTCCGGAGCCACGTACGGAAGAGTCCCACAGAGACGACTCAGACGACGCTCTCGCCCTTTGAAACGAAACATGGTGGCCAGGCCAAAATCTGTCAGCTTCAGGTTATCTGAAAGGTAAAAGCAGATGATGGTTACTATAAATGCAAACCAAGGTTATTCATTCTACACCTCGATACGCATTGTATTTCCTCACCTTTGTCATCCAGCAAAATGTTCTCTGGCTTTATGTCTCTGTGGGTGATTCCAGCACCGTGGAGGTATTCCTGTAAAAGTGCAACTGAGAATTTAATAACAGCAGAAACGGGTGCAGACGGTCACGTCAACGCGCAGATTTGCTTCACTCACCACCGCCGCTATTAGCTGCTGGAAAAGTCTGTGAGCTTCTCTCTCCGCCATCCCCACATCAGGCTCTAAAATAAAAAGAAAGAAGAGGTTTAAATAACTTGATTAAGTGCCATCCACATACAAAATATGAGGACAAGCTTCCAGCCAGCTGTCCAGTTTACTTTAAATTGTATTTATCAAAAAATAAAAATACTAATTAGCTGAAGACTGAAGAATTTGCTGTTGGCTGGGATTTAATTAAAAAGTGTTCCTATATCATAATTCCTTTTTCATATGGTAGTTCTTTGTTAATAAAAACTATTACTTTAACTTGAATCGAATATTTTAACTATAAAAAATATTACTGGTTACGCCCTCAAAGAAAGCAGCTCTATGTTTGCCGCCCGCGGTCGTCCACTCACCGATTCGGTCGAACAGCTCTCCTCCGGTGCAGTACTCCAGGAAGAGATACATCGTCGTACCTTCCTTCCGATGGCCAAAAAAACGGACGATGTTGGGGTGGTTGAGCATCTACCAGAACAGTAGCAAACCTCACTTAATGCACATACTAATTTTAACGTACAAATTAACAGTTTAAAAAGGTTATAGCTGAGCAATATATCTGTAATATTACAAATAGTTTAATTAATTGCAAATTAAGCTCAAGTTTAAATTCTTACAATCAGTTCAATGTAACGTCTTCTACTAGCAAATCCCTTCTGTTTCAGCTACTCTGATGAGCCGTTAAAGCTAATTAATAGCTCTCTGTACCTTTCACACTTTAGTCTTACTAACTTTACTAAAGGTGAACGACCTACTTTATGCACGCAGACCTCCTTCTTGACATTTTCCACACACTCTTTAGCCTGAGATGTATCGATCACCTTCACTGCAACCGCCTCCTCGGTCTGTCTGTTCACCAGCAGCCTCACTCTGCGACCATGGACACACACATGGGGACACGGGCACGGGCACGGGCGCGCGCGCACACACACACACACACACACACACACACACACACACACACACACAC